GGGTTGTTGTTAACACTTGTGGCTAACAGTCCGTCTCCTTCCTTCTCTTTTCCTCTTCTTCACTGAAGAACTCCACATCAAGACTTCTGTTGCTATACAGTGCTCTGAAATTGGTCCTCCTTGGTTTAAGCCTTCTTCCATGCGAGTCCGCACAGATGACCCCTATATTCCTTAAAATCAACCATGAGAAAAAACAACTAGACTACGATCGATCGCTCCTTCAGTCTCAAAGTGCAGCCTCCCCCTACTCCGCAGCATTTTCCTCTCATGCTGCTTTTATCCTGTACCGCTACCGCTTTGAGACATCCTGTTGTGATGCCTCCCTGCCTGTGTAACCCTTGAAACTATTAAATCACACAGCTACATTAATTTTCAGTGAATTGCCTGACTAATTGCCTAAACTATTCCTTAACTGTATTTAAAAAAGGACAGACTTCTGACTTCTTGCCGGTCATAATTTTATAATTTGTCATAACGATATCAGGGACTTGACCCGATAGCAACATGTTCATTTGAAGATCACAACTGGAGGGAAATTAGGTTATTTCCTAAATGTAAAATTCTGCCTCAAGTTCTATCTCGTTTACTTCTTTCCATTCTGTCAATCGTGTAATATGATGGAGTTGTTGACCAATCAAAGCAAATACATTCAATTCATCCACAACAGGGGCAGAAGAGCTAAAATAAAACAAAGAACTGTGAATGCTGGATATCTGAAACAAAACAGAAATTGCTGGAGAAAACCAGGGGGCCTGGCAGCATCTGTGGAGAGAAAGCAGAGTTAATGTTTCGGGTCCAGCAGATCCCGCTTTCTCTGCTAACTCTGCTTTCTCACCACAGTTGCTGCTAGATCTGCTGAGTTTCTCCAGCAATTTCTATTTTTGAGTCAGAAGAACTCTTGTGGTGCAATGGTAGTGTCCCTACCTCTGAACCAGAGGACCCAAGTTCACGTCCCACCTACTTCAGAGGTGATAACCTCTCTAAACAGGTTGATCAGAAAATATCTACAACAGAGTCAGAAACACCACGAGGGAAACAAGCTTTTGGAAACTATAAGTCCAAAGTCTTCCCTTGCATATTATACTGACCGGTATTCAGGTTGCAGTTTTTTTTAATGTATTGTATCACAAAATGATAGATTAGCTAAACTTTTTTAAAACTGTGTTTGAATGAATTATTTTTCATATTGTATGGAATGTGAGCACCACTGACAAAAGCTGGCATTTGGTGACAATCCCTAGCTACCCTTCAGCTAATTACTTTCTGTGCTTTTCAGGATACAGCTAAGAGTCCAACTACATTGTTTTAAGTCCGGAGTCACATGTAGGCCAGACTGGGTAAGGGAGGCAGGTTTTCTTCCCGAAAGATATTAGTAAACAGATGGATTTTTACAACAATTAACAATGGTTACATGGTTGCTATTAGGCTAGTTTATCAATGCCGCATTTTTATTGAACTCACAGTATTTGAACCCGTGTTCCAAGAATGTTAGCTTGGGCTCTGAATTATTAGTCAAGTGATATTATCACTAAGCCACTGTTTCTCACCATAGCTGCTCTACCATTGTCCAAGGAATCCTGCTCCATAGATTGATCTGTTTATTGTAATAATGTTCTTGAAGGATAGCTTTGAAATCAGCCCCTTCCAGCTCAGGCCAGGTTCTGAACAGTAGAACCAAAGAAAAAGGTGTAAAGGCTGGTCATGGTTTATAATTCACCCCCTTATCATTTAATAAGTTTTAAAGTTCATTCATTTTTCCTGAGCCCAACTCAAAAGGGTATATCACCACTATCCAGAATTCACTCTGATTTCTCTTTAGGTAGTCCAGCATCTTATCAAGGTACAAGATTTCATAGGGGGTGGAGAGGTCTTTCCATTAGTTTAGTGCTAAGCAGCACTTTAATTTTGGCGAGATGGTGATGTATTCATAATCCAGAAGCCCAGGTTAATGCTCCAGGAACATGGGTTCAAATCCCACCACGATATCTGATGAAACCGAAATTCAATTAAGTGAAAGAAACGAAATACCGGTCGGGTATCCTTTATCCAAAAGACCACAAGCCAAAAAGACCTAAAACCCAAAGGTCTTTTCGAAAGCGTACCCAAACAGATCTGCAGTCATGTTGAGCTTGGGCACTTTAGTAAAAAAAACTTTGCTTAGCCTGAGCAGACCTGAAAGTGTAGCCTTTTCCAAAGACACTTAAACTCAATGTGTCTATAGGTCTGTTCAGGTCCACATGGGAAAAAAGTGCATCCAATAACCGAAAATGTTGTTTATCCAAAAAAACAGTTCGTCCCAAGATTTTCAGATAAAGAATTCCTGTCCTGGATAAAATCAGTCTCAGTAATGTTGCCAAGACGCTGATCATTGATTATTGTAAAACCCCATCAGCTTTAGGGAAGGAAATCTGCCTTCTTTAACTGATCGGGGCTACATGAGACCCCAGACCCACAGCTATGTGGTTGACTCTTTACTGCTTTCTGAAATGACTGAGCCCACTGCTCCATTCAAGGGCACTTCGGGATAGACAATAAATGTCAGCAACACCCACATCCCATGAAAGAATAAAAAAGTAATCTTTTTCACTGATCACATGATTCTGAACTCCACAGTTCTAGCAAAGACCCAAATACAACTCCTGTGCAGTGGCTTAAGATATCATAAAACACTTCTGGCTTCCATCAGCATGCAGCTTTGGTTTCAAATGACAACTAAGCTGCTTACTTCCAGAATTTCAACTGCAGCTTGGTTTATAGCATTTTATTGAATCTTATGACAGATTTCTTCCTTTAGCTTCCAGTTAAAGGAATCTTCCAGTCATTTGCCCCCTTTACAACTTTGTCTTCGACTGAATACCAGCTCCCACTTGCAGGCGGCATCAATTACACTGTCTCAGGTGTAGCACCTTTATCGGTCAACTTCTAAGGAGATAGGAACTAACAAGACTCAAAGCTGACACGGTCTCTTAGCTGTTTTACAAAATGAACCAGTCTTGCATGCTAGCTGTGCCACATCTGAATTCAGAGAGATAACTCAAAACAAAGCAAGCAAGAAAGCACACCAATGCATCTACTTCCTCAGAAGGCTAGGGGAATTTGTTACACCGACAATGACTCTTACCAATTTTTATAGATATATCATAGAAAGCATCCTATTCAGAAGCATCACAGCTTGGTATGGCAACTGCTCTGCCCAAGACCACAAGAAATTACAGAGAGTTGTGAACTCAGCTCGGTCCATCACACATATCAGCCTTCCTTCCACTGACTCCGTCTACGTTTCCTGCTGTTTCAAGAAAGCAGCTAACCTAATCAAAGATCCTTCCCACCCCAGTTATACTCTCTTCCACCCTCTTCCCTCGGGCAGAAGATACAAAAGTTTGAAAACACGTACCAACAGATTCAAGAACAGCATCTTCCCTGCTGTTATCAGACTTTTGAATGGACCTCTCATACATCAAGGTTGATCTTTCTCTGCATCTTCTCTGTAGCTGTAACTCTATATTCTGCATTCTGTTCTATTACTCTATTGTACTTATGTAAGGTATGATTTGTCTGGATAGCAGACAAAACAATACTTTTCACTGTATCTTGGTACATGCGACAATAATAAATCAAATCAAAAATAAAAATCAAATCTCACTGAGCTCCACTATCTCCAAAACAATGTGACATATGCAGCTTGTCCCAGATAGAAATGCAAATAAAGTAATAATTAATTCCAAAGCTTTTCTTAATTCTGGAAACCACATAAATAACTTATCCTTTACTAAAATAACTGTTGAAGTCATGTCTCCAGTTATTTAATTCAGCAAGTCCATACGTTGTTTTACAATTTTACCTTTCCAACCACAAATTTCTTAAATTAATATACACAAATCTTTTAAGTTGAATAAACTCAAGCTTGTTTCAAACATATTTACTTCAGAATTATAACCAATTGAACTGTATGTTCCCCTCTTTTCTGTAGTTAATTCCTAAAACTTTGAAAACATGAGAATTACAAACTAGATATTTCTAACAATATTCTCCAGTCCCTTTAGAAAACCAAAAAAGAATCACCTCTCAGCCTTCTCTTATTCAATGAATTAGACTCAACGTACAGTTATTCTTCACAATAAAATCCCTCAATCATTTTGGCTGTCCTCTTCTGTATCCTTTCAATAAGTGAAATAGATTTCTTGGACTATGACAAGCAGAATTGCACATAGTATGTGCATTGTGGTTGTGCAAATGATTTACAAAGCGGCAACATTACCTCACCACCTTGATTCAATATTCTTCCCAACGTATGATTTGCTTTATTCATTCCCACTGACTTCTTTATAGGACTAAAAAAAAAGACTTAAAACTGGAATATTTACACTTGAATTTCTTTAAAAACTTATCAAACATTCTTAGGCTCAATATACAATAACATCTGACAAAAAGTTAACAGCACACTGCCCAAGCCTCAAACAAAGGCCTTTACAATTAGGAGTACAATCCACATAAATAAAAACATCTCTACCTAATATTAATCTGTATCTGAGTTAATTTTGCGTGCATCTGCATGAACTAAAAAAATTACAAATTGGAGTTCCACATTTCATTTTGACGTTTGGTGCACACAGGATTGAAATGAAAATTGTTCTTTCTACTTCAAGGTACATAAAATGAATATAAAAATTAGTAATGTCAAAATTATATAGAAGACAAAAGACAAACTACTTGAAAATACAGATAAAAGAATCATATTAACAGATAAAGCATTCCCAGGGCTGTTATTTTGATAAAATACCTACCCTAAAATCAGTAAAATACCTACAAATTTTCTAACAGATTATTTGATCTGCAGGTCTAAAGTTCAGTCTTTCAGTATAAGTCATAATGTTTTTGCATTATAATTAAAACTTGAATTGATATATTAATTGTTTACTCATTAGCAAGATGACACAAACCATACATCATTTCAGAAAGAAGGAAAATTGGCATCAAATAAATTCAACCAGGAGACTTACTGTTGATTCTTGGGCAGGTGGAACATGATGGGCTTCAGTATTGACATTCACTTTGCATGACCTTGATCTAGTATTGTCTTCATCCGAAGTAGTTTTATCATCAATAAAATGTACTCCCTTCTCAATACACCTCCGCTTTCGTGCCTAAAAAAGTGCATCACAGAAAAATAAAACAACTTCATAGATGAATAGTTCTATTACTGTCCTAAATGAGCATGGGAGACACAGTACCAGAATGACAGGAAAATCAGGAGTTGAGATTGTAGACTTGCTCGCTGAGTCAGTGTGTTTGGTTGCAGACGTTTCGTCACCCTGCTAGGTAACATCGTCAGTGCGCCTCCGGTGAAGCGTTGGTGCTCACTGGTCTCAATACACACAAACAAAGAAGGACATGAATTTGACTGGGACAACACATCCATAATAGCACCAGCCAAACAGAGACACGTTAGGGAATTCCTGGAGACCTGGCATTCCAATCGGAACTCCATCAACAAACGCTTGAACTGGACCCAATATACAAACCACTCAAAAACAGAACCAGAAGTAATGCCAACCACTCTAGCAAACCGAGGCATATAAATAGCAAGCGGGACAGAACACCATCGCTTTACCGGAGGCGCACTGACGATGGTACCTAGCAGGGTGGCGAAACGTTTGCCACCAAATGTGCCGCTCAGCGAGCAAGTCTACAACTTCATCCACAACCCGAGCTACAAATCTTGTCAGAAATTTTAAAGTCAAAAGTTGAATAAAATTCATAACAACTATTCGCAGTTTCATCTTCTAGTTGAAAATCCTAATTCTTACGATCTCATAATCAATAACATTATTTCAACGTTCATCTTTTGGTTCTTTCCTAACTTTCCCTTGCATAATTGGAAATAATTCCGCACAATAAAGATGCACCACAACGTTGGGTTAAATGATTTCTAAATTCCTTGCGTGTTGTATTTACCAATAATTTATGTTTAACTTTAAAGTTTCTTTTATTTATTTCAACCCATTAGCTGGCTTTTCCATCAGATTTAATCTAATCACACTAATAGAATTAAACACATGACCGAGTTTCTAGCTCCAACAGTTAATTATATTCTACAAAAAATCTAGCACCACTGTAACTGGTTGACAAAACTAAGTTATTTTCTAATTCACATCGCTCCAAGATTTCTGTTAAATTAATGTACGCGATTGATTCAAACGTAAAATTTTAGAATGGAACCTGAATGTTAAACTGATTAGCAAAATCCAATGAATGTCATTGCTTCTTTCACTTAAAACTTCAGGCCTGTAAGTTACACTTTGAAAAAATACCTGTGGGTCATTTAAAGGCATACGGATCCGTTTCCTCTGTGTTTGAAAATCATCATCGGCTTCGCTTAAAGGTGTTTTCATCATGGCACGCAGTTTGGAGGCTAACGTATCCTTAGGGCTACATGCAACATCTGTGAAATAAAACAAATCCACTGTATGTTATAATTCTAGGATTTGTTACAATTCTTATCACTCCACTAAATATGTACGATGTGGAGAAGGTGGTGGTCAGCTGCTTCCTTGAACAGCTGTGACTCGGGTATAGGGGCAACTACAGTTCTGTCAGAAAGGTAATTCCAGGATATTGATCTAGTGACAGTGAGGAAATGATAGAGTTACCAGTCAGGATAGTGCATAGTTCAGATGGATACTTGCAGGTGACAATCCTGCGTTTCTGCTGCCTTTAACATTCCAGTTGGTAGCAGTGATTCATTTGGAAGGTGCAGTCAGGGGAGCTTTGGTGAGTAACTACACTGCATCTTGTAGATGGTACACACTACCACCACTGTGCAATTATGGTGAGGGGAATGAATGTTGACATTGGCGAATGGAGTGACGATCAAACAAGCTGCTGTGTCCTAGATGGTGTCAAGCTTTTGGAGTTTTCTTGGAACTTAATAAAATAACTATATAAATAAATATGTAATAACTGTCAATCTGTGCTAATTGTACTAACCACCCAGCCACCATGCTGCCGAACACAGACAACACATACACCGAAACCATGTTTAATTCATGGATTCTATAAACAAAAGCCCAGCTAGTTCTGTTATTAATTGTTCTGAAGGGTCACTGGACCCAAAACATTGACTTTTCATTCTCTGCACGGATGTTGTCAGACATGCTGAGTTTCTCCAGCCATTTCTGTTTTTGACCCAAAGGATGACAGCAGTTCAGGAAAGCAGCTTGCCATCTCCTTTTCAAGGGCAATTAGGGATGGGTAATAAATGCTGTCCTAGCCACTGATGCTCACATTCCATGAACAAATAAAACAAAACTCTGCCACAACATAGTTACTTCTGTGGCTCTGTTATTTATTTAATTCCTGACTCTGATATGACTTGTTATTCTATTTCTCTGATATTATTTATTTAATTTTGCAGCTTTCTTTCTTGGAGTTCTGGTCCTCCAAAATTATTTATTTACTTTCAGCTTCCTAACATTCTACCATTGCCATTAACCTATGTAATTAATTCAAGGACACCAAGCATACCAATAATTCCAAAACTATTTATTTAGTTAAGCTGCTTCTGTTCTAAAATATGTCTTTCGCTCTAGCTTGGCAACACACTCTGATAGCGGCAAAATTTTCTGTTTCCATCTAATTTTTAATACCTGGACCATTCATAAATGCTTAAAAAAAGGAAATAAATGCTAATTAAAGACAGCCATAATGATCACCTGACCAGATTAAGCCAAGTTCACGAGACCAGCAAAAAAAAAGACCAAGTGTAATCTAAAAACGATGTATTATCAAAATGACTAAAAGCTACCCGTTTAACTTATACCTTTCTGGAAGTTATTGGGTAGAAGACTAGCTTGAAAATGATCTATCTTGAAGAAAACAACGTCCAGATATGGGAATACACAAATGAACAATGTTTCAGGCAATGGCTTTTAAGTAAAGCAGAGAAGAACAATGTATTCATAAGAACTGAATGGAAGGCTTTTCCATCTTCCCCTTACTTCTTCTCATCGTGGTAGCGATAAAATATGGATTATCAATTTATAATTTCCGTGATCTAATTTTAATACCTGAGATGTAAATGTACTGGAACACTTTCTAAAAGGAAGAAACCTGGACCGAAAAATGACAAAGTTCAGGAAACCAATGTGGAATTAACAACAAGGCAGATGAACTAAGGACACAGATAGACACATGGCAGCACAAACCTGCTAAAGTAGGGGCAAAATTGGCAGCTCATTACCCTGCCTGAAAACTTTATATCCAGGGCTGGAGCAGGTGACAAAAATGGAGGGGCTGTAGCAGTATTGATTAAAGAATCAAGTACAGTTGTGAGAAGGGATGATATAGTAAACAAATGAGGTTTTATGGGTTGAGCTTAAGAATAAAACAGGATAGTCACACTAATAAGAGTATACTACAGACCCCCAAATAGTGACAGGGAGACAGAAGAACATATATGTAGGCAAATTTCTGCCACTAAGAATAAGAGGACAATAATAGTAGGAGATATTAATTATTCCAATATCAACTGGGTTTCAAACAATATAAGGGGCATTGAGGATGAAAAGTTCATGTACCATGTAGGTGACAAGCCCAATGAGGCGAGACGCAATTCTAGATTTAATTTCGGGGAATGAAGATGGGTAAGTGGGTGAGTTGACAGTGGGCGAGGTGACAGTGGGCATACATATCGGGGATAGTGACCACAATTCGGTTAGATTTAGTATTATTATGGAGAAGGACAGAGATAAATCAAGAGCAAAAGTTTTAACTGAGGGAAGGCAAATTTTACAAAACTGAGGTGATTTGTCTGAGGTGGACTGGACAGGACTGTTAAAGGATAAATCAGTGGTAAACCAGAAGGAGGCACTAAAAGTGAGATCCATATGGCACAAAGCAGGCATGTTCTCTCCAAACACAAGAATGGTACTGCCAAATCTAGACCCCCAGAGTTGTGTTGAAAAATACAGAGGAAGATTAAACAGAAGACAGCTTATGATAGTCACAAAAATCTCAACACTGCAGATAGCCTAGAGCAATATAGAAAGTACAGAATGTCGTTGAGGCTCTTCTGGAGTACTGTGTGCAGTTCTCGTCGCCCTGCCTTAGGAAGGATATTATTAAACTGGAGAGGATTCAGAAAAGATTTATCAAGATTGCCTGGAATGGAGTGTTGGAGTTATAAAAATAGACTGGATAGGCTAGGATTTTTCTCATGGAGCGTAGGAGGCTGAGGGATGACCTTATCGAGGTTTATAAAATCATGAGGGGCATGGATATGGTGTACAGCAAAGGTCTTTTCCCTAAGGTGGGGTAGTTCAAAACTAGGGGTCATATTTTTAAGGTGAAAGGAGAAAGATTTAAAAAGGATATGAGGGGCTTGAGTTTTTAAACACACACAGAGTGATTAGTGTATGGAATGAACTGCCAGAGGAAGTGGTGGATGCAGGAACAGTTAAAACGTTTAAAAGATATTTGGATATCTTGATTACATGAATAGGAAAGGTTTGGACGGATATGGGCCAAATGCAGGCAGGGGGGACTAGTTTAGTTGGGAACATGGTCAGTGTGGATTAATCGGACCAAAGAGTTTGTTTACATGCTATGTGACTCTACGATTCTGTAAAGTTTGCTCCTAATGATGAAGTACATCAACTATTCAGCTACGCATACTGTTTCAACTGTAACAACTCAGTGATTCTAAGAACTTTTAAAACTTGATTTTCCTTTTTGTACTTGAGGTTCTTCCCATGCTTAAACTAATACTCGAGTGTGTTTGATATTGTATTTTCACTTTTCTCAGAGTTACTAACCAATAAAATTCCTTTCTTTCATTCAAGAAAACCTGTCTTTGGCTCCTTAATATTGAACCAGAAACCTTTATTTTAATTGAAGTTTTACACAGCTGCTTGCTCAAATGAATGTAAAATCTTTGCTGCAGCCAACTAAAGGGGTTAAAAAGGGAGCCAATTCACCTCTCCTCACCTGGTTGTTAAAAAAAAAAACTCAGGATAATAAATAAGAAATTGGAGCAGGAGTAGGCTATTCAGACCCTCAAGTCTACCCCAACATTCTGTATGATCATGGCTGATCAGCCCCAGTGCTACCCACAGTGCTCAATTCCCCAAAATTTCAAAATCTGCTTTAAATACTTTCAGTTTCACCACCACAACCCTCAGGGACAGAAAATTCTAAACATTTAGAACTCCGAGGGAAGAAATTTCTTCACATATTAAATGAGTGTCCCTTATTCTGTAACTATATCCCCCTCACTTGAGACACATCCATTAGTGGAAATATCTTCTCAACATGCATCCTAACAAGCCCCCTCAGAATCTTGATAAGATCACATTTCATTCTTCTAGTCTAATAAATAATGGCTTAGTCTGTTTAACTCTTCATTAAGTCAAGCTCGTCATCCCACGAAGCAGCCTACTGAATCTCTTTTGAACTGGCTCCAGTGCCAGTTTACAGTACCTCATGTGCGGCCTCACTAATACTTCGTACATTGTAATCAGACTTCCCTATTTTTAACCTTCAACTCCTTAGCAATAAAGGCCAAAATCCATTTGCCACCTTAATTTCTTACTCTAACTGCACCCTAATGTGCAATGTTTTTGTGTTTCACACATAAGAACTCTCAGATTCGACTTTGCTGCACCTTTTTGGTACCTCTCTCCAATAAAATAATGGACTGCTTTTTAATTATCCCTACATAGCTACACTGCTTCCTACATTTACACTACATCCTACATTAAAATTCATCTGATAAGCTTTTGCCCACTCACTCAACATATGTTATCTTGCAGATCAATGTCCTCCCAACTATTTGTGAATCATCAACAAATTTGAATACATAACATTCTGCGTCCCCCTACCGCACTTCTCCAAGTCAGTAACAGAGATTCTAAATAACTGAGGCCCAGGAGTGATTCTTCTGACTCCACTTGCTACAGTTTTCCAACCTGGAAAAGACACATTAATCCTGATTCTGTCTTCTGTATGTTAACTTATCCTAACACTGTGAGCTCCTTTCCTGAGCACTGACCTTTTATGTGGCACCTTATCAAATGCCTTCTGGAAATTCAAATACACTAGTACAAGAGCGGGGATGTGTTGTTGAAATTGTACAGGGTCTTGGTGCAGTTTTGGTCTCCTTTTCTGAGGAAGGGTGCTTTAGCCCTCATGGGAGTACAGTGAAGGTTTACCAGGCTGATTCTGGGAGTGGCGGGTCTGACATATGAGGAGAGATTGACTAGGTTGGGATTGTTTTCGCTGGAGTGCAGGCGAATGATGGGGGGGGATCTCATAGAGACTTATAAAATTCTAACAGGACTGGACAGGATAGATGCAGGGTGGATGTTCCCAATGGTAGGTGTGTCCAGAACCACAGTATGAGCATTCAGGATAGACGATTTAGGATGGAGATGAGGAGACATTTCTTCACCCAAAGAGTGGTGAGCCTGTAGAATTCATTACCACAGGAAGTAGTTGATGCCAAAAACATTGAATGTATTCAAGAGGCAACTAGATATAGCACTTGGGGCGAACGGGATCAAAGTTTATGGCAAGAAAGCAGGATTAGGCTATTGAGTTGGACAATCAGCCATGATCGTGAAGAATGGCGGAGCAGGCTCGAAGGGCCAAATGGCCTCCTCCTGCTCCTTTCTTCTATGTTTCTATGTAGATCTCCTGGTTTCCCCTTTATCAATTCTGCCTGGTAAATCCTCAAAGAACTTTTTCAAATTTGTCAAATGTGATCTCCCATTTACAAACCCGCATCGATCCTTGACTGTGTTAAGTTTTTCGAAATGTTCCATTATTATCTTGCTTAATAATTGCCTCTAGCATTTCACTCCTTTTAAAATACCCTCCCATTTATTGTAAACAACCTTGTGGGGGATCTGATGGTATTATAAGAAACATATGATTACAACGTTGTCTGAAATGGCTCCAAACGTTTACTGCTTGTACTTAATGGAAGAACCATTATGTTAAGTGTCAGCAATTGCTTGATGCTCTGATCCCTGCACAGGCCTCTAATTCCTTGGCACGTCAAATTTTGAACTTTTGTCCTAGCTTTTAAGTTCTTTCAGAACTTTGCCCCTTTGCCAATATAACTCCAGCACCCCCTACTGCCAAAGCGTTTCCTTCTTCCGACTCCTGCATCTTACCCATCCCTTTATCTCATCACTGCCATTACTGCTTTTAGGCATCCTTCTGGATAATTTCTAACCCTAAATGACATGAAACCAAATAATGCATTTAGCAATAAATAGCATTCATGAACATTCATAATGTTCAAAACATTATTCATCCAATTACCTCACCACCCTGTAGTAATGAATGAACTTTATGTGAAAAAGCTGAAGTATTAAATGAACACGAAATGGATAATTGGTTCGAGAAAGTCATTACCTTGGTTTGAACTTGGTGAGGATTTTCCGTTTTCTGCAACAGCGGAATTGGTCTGGTTTGTTTCTGTGACTGCAGCAGAAGGCATTCTTGCTGTGTGACAGGTACAGTTACACACGGGCAATTTTTCTTGTTTTTTACAACTACTTGAACAACTTTCATCTCCAGATTTGTCTGCACAAGATGAATTGTTCATTAATACTAGAAGCAAGACATATATCATACAACAACTTTGGTTTTCCAGTATTAGGAATGCCACAATGCTTCAGTAATGTGGTATTAAGAAAACAATGATTATGGTACAACTAAACTTAGGCATTGCAACATATTAGAATAGCAATGTGATGCAGCACATGATTGTTGACACAGGTTCTCCATCTTCAAAGTACTTCAAATCACATCAAGTAACTTCCTAAAACATAGGAGGAATCAGGGAGTGATCTCCCAAGGTCCTCTTCAATATATCTCAGTGGCAAGTCAAGAAAAGCATTTGAAGAGTCTTGATGCTAGATTACTCAAATGTGCTCACAAATTCTGTGACTCTATAAATCTATAAAAGATTAGATAGTTCAAACTAGCTCAACATGTTTAGTTATACAGCAAGAGAGTCACTCAAAACAATTCGCATCCTAGAGTCGGCCCCAATCAGGTGATCTCAGCCTAGAGTAGCAATATTGCACCATATGTTTAGGGAACCCCTTGGTTTATGGTGGTGGCAGATTTGGCAGAAGGTTGCAAGGCAGGGGGCAAAAAGAGCTTTAATGAATAGAACCTTTACAATATACCTATTTAAAAATAGCAAATCAAATGCCATAAGACATATGAACTTGATGTCAAAATTCTTGCAGCATTCTACTTTAAACCAGAAGACTACAGAAGCATTAAAAAAGTATCTTCCCATTTTAAAATTCTCTCGTTACTTAGTTGTCATAACTTACACAATCAATATACCCCATGACAACTTCACAGCATTGTGACTTGCTATTCGATGTCTACTATTATCCATGTAGTCGTGGCAATGTATCTACAAGTATCTATAAACAACCTTAAGTTATCTTTCAGAAGGTTGAAAAAAGAAGTTGAATTTAAAAATGTATAATTTCTTCAAGTCATTCTGAAATACAGAGGTAGTTCTATTTGCTCACACTAGAAATTTGCATGAATATTGAATGATCAATATTGACCAATTTCCATTTTACATTCCTTTGCTTGAGTTCTCTGACCAAACAAATTTGCTCAGCAATCATGTGCTGAACCACAGCTAAGTGCCTTGATTTTTTTCTACCGTCATTAGGAGGCTGATCCCAAATCTATCTCTACCAGATTGAACGTTGGGCTGTTGGTATTAATCTCATCCACAAAAGCTGAAATTAATTCTGAATGTATCAAATTGGCCACTGTACATTATTGTGCTATCTACGTAATAACTTGCTTGAGATTAGAGCTCTTATTTTTCACTCAAGAGTATTATTATCCATTTGCAGTGAGGATAACATCCGTAACAAAGCAAGCATGAAACATACCGCAAAATGTGTATCGTTAATCCAGACAGTTTCATACAACATCAGAGAAATAAACATAAAACCATACCATACTGAGATTGCTGCCAGGCCAATGTGGAGCAAAGCAATGCAAGACTTTTTCCACTTCCAGTTGGACTCTCTAATAGACAGTGCTGTTGGCAGTTCAAACCTCGTACAATCTGAACGAAAGCATAAATCAGACCAATGTGGACCTCTGCATTAATTCAGCTAAATAAAATATCAACATCAGAAGTAATGAACAGCAAGGTAATTGTACTTTAGGCTGTAATGTTGTTAGCATTAAAGAATATATTAACATTAAAGAATAACTTAATCTATCCTTTTGTTAGTCAACCACGCATCCAACATACCCACACACCCACTGTAATGTGGTTGACTCTGAACTGCCCTCTAGGCAATTAGGGATGGGCAATAAATGCTGCCTAGCCAGCAATGCCTTCATTCCGTTAACGAATAAAGAAAAAAAATGCAGAAATCAATCACTAATTTCAGCAAATGAAATTATGCACCCACCAGTAGAGTTTCATTTACCCAATGCCAAGTGCATGCACTCTTCCTTTGGTATAACAAACTACTTAATTGTGCAAACGTTAGGTTGGCTGAGAGAAGATATGGATTCTCTTGGAGGTTAATAATGTATGAACATACAAACAAAGAACAGGAGCAAGCCATTTAGCGCCTCAGCTTGCTCTATCATTCAACAAGATCATGGACGATCTGTCTATAATCTCAAATCCACATTTCTGCCAATCCATCATATGCGCTCATCCTTTGCTTAACAAAAATCAATCTACCTCTGCCTTAAAAACATTCAAGGACTCTGCTTCCACCATCTTTTGAAGGAGAGAGCTCCCAAGACTCAAAACCGTCAAAGAAAGAGTTCCACCTGATATTAAACAGATCACTCTGATTTTTAAACAATGATCCCTACTTCTAGATTCTCTCATTACAGAAAAAGTCCTCTCCAAATCTATCCTGTCACAAGCCCTCAGGATATTCTACTTATCGATCAAGTTGCCTTTGCTCATCTAAACTAGAGCAGATACAATCCAAGCTTGTTCAATCTTTGCACACAAGAGAAATGCAAAATTATGAGCGGAATAGATTGGGTAGATTGTGGGAATCTTTTCCCCATGGCAGATATGTCTAAAACAGAACAGCATAGGTTTAAGGTGATTAAGTGGTTTAGAGGGGATCTGAGGAAATATTTTTTCATCCAGAAGTTGGTAGAACTTTGGAACATGCTGTCTCAGAGTGTGGTGGAGGTAGGCACTCTTGCAACAACCCACTCATTTCTGATATTGGTCTAGTAAACACAGAAGCTGATATCATATGGTTTAACTGAGCAAATCAACCGTTACACTTGCTTATAGGCTTTTCATTGCATGCCTAGCTAAAATTGCTAGGTTGCTAAAAATGCCTAGCTAAAACCTTTAGGGTTTTATCAGTCTAAGTGTAGAATAATTACATTCTAAAGTCTTAGAATCCAAACTGTGCCATGTAGAGTTGATGTGATTGCAAACTTCAATCACTGGGTCTTTTACTTTAGAAACCCCTTCACACACAACAGGACCCACTTGGCTCCTATCCATCCCTTACAATACTTATGAACCAGTTAATTGCATTCAATTGTCTGAATATATGAAATCAATACACTTACTGAATTCATCATAGCGAGCTGAGATGGGTACGCCTTGCATGGAAAAAGGATTTTCACTCCACCAATCGTGTATTCAGAAGCTGATGATGCCATCTTAATTAGTTAATTGTGATATGCGTCAAGAAAATTCTGCCTCAGTGCTTCAATCTGTGGAAGGAGTTTTAAATACTTTACCTGGACAGAAAATCACATTCTTTATTAAAATGTATTCAATTTCATTTTCAATCTCACTCTAGGAGCAATTATTTAAAATCCAATGTTGTGGGACATCAGGGCAAATCTTGGAAACTGATAAAATTATAATTGAAGTGCTTTATGTAAGTGGTAGGTCAGGCAGCGTGGGGTACAGTGAATGGAGTTTCCCAGGTTCAGTTTAGGAACAATGCTATTTCTGTTCACATAAACAAATGGATTCTGGAACGCAATGCCAAGTGGCCAGGTATCAGATGTTAAAAAAGAAGGGTCACTGGAATCAGAGCAGGAGCACAGAAATTGATAAGACTTAGTTGCGGACAGAGGGAAGTCGGATGAACTTTAATCCAGGCAAGTAAGAAGCACCAATTTTGGTAAGAAATAGAAAACAGCTCAAGTGGTGATGAAAACAAAAACAAACCTACTGGTTCAACAATACAATGCTCATATATCCAACCATTCCAGGCCAGCTGTTAACAAAGCCAAAAGAATGTGCAAGTACATAATGCTGGAGACAGAGATCATCATTAGTACTGACCATCATCTGAGCTGCCCAGCCCCCACACCACCCCCTAGAAACATCATTGTTCCAAGTTAGAGATATCTGGGCCTTACAGCATAGAAAGAAGGCATCCAAGGAGTTACCTCAGAGTAATGTGAGGTGGTTCAGAAAATGCAACCTGCATATTATTTTAAATTGTGGAAGTAAAATTAGTCATCAAAGGTTCAAACTAGCAGAAGTTAAAGTTAGGGTTAACATTGGAAAATAATTCCAACAAAGAGTGATTAATTTATAGAATACATTTCCACTTAAAGTAAAGTAAGTGAAAGTCTTGGACTCATTCAGGAAAAAAAAAGACCTTAATATCTTAAAGAAAGGATAAATTTAGGTGAATTACAAATTTTCTAAGCATTATATTGCATGTTTTTGAATGACTGACGTACAAGTCTTGGCACAATGAACAACATGGAATCTCTCATGCAAAACATAAATTATCAAGCTACCTTTAATGAACATTACACGTCTAAATTGTATCTTAATAGATAATTCTGAAATTCCACTGACATTGGAAAACTCCCAGAGCTTTGTGCTTGATATGAATTCGGTATCGTAAATATTAAACTTATAACTGTAAGTGTAGTGACTAAGGAACTTCAGAGTGCCACATACCATGTTGAAGAAACTGGTCTATTTTTGAAATTTTATGGACAGTATAAAATATATTTATAAGAAAAAGAAACAACTAGGCATTTAAAAAATTATTCAAGAAAGAAGCCCTGTCAACCTGCTATTTTCAACGTGGATGGCTTATGAAAAACATTGATTGCAGTTTGTCTGTTAAGATAGCCATTATTAAGTCTGTAACTTACAAGTCTCACAATATATAACAAATGGTTTTGGATCAAGAAAAACCAAAGGAATTGCCCAAAACTCTTAAAATATTAAAACACCATAGGAAAAATATGTAAATTCTAATTCATCTAAGCACTCAAAATTTAATTTAATAGGCAATAATCACTGGCACCTTGGATAGGAGGGACCGGCCAAAAGTCTGACCAAGGAGTTGAAGAGTTTTAAAAAGACGATGGTTACAGAGGCTGTTCCAAGCAGTGGGGTTGAGGCAACTGAATATTCCATCAAAAGTGATGGACAGATAGTGATATACTGAAGAGCAGAGGCTATGATGCAAAGCAATGCAGCCAGGTTATGACTGGAGACAGAGGAAGCAGTGACTTAGTGGTAATATCACTGGACTTGCAATCAAAGACCACACAATAGTATTCTGGGAACATGAGTTTGAATCCCACCATAATATCTTTTAGGGAAGGAAATCTGCCATCTTTACCTGGTCTGGCTACACGTGACTCCAGACCAATACTTAACTGCTCTCTAGGCAATTGGCAGTTACAATAAATGCTGACCTAGCCAGCAATGCCCTCATCCTGTGAATGACTAAAAGATAGCTGCACTGAATGAATGGCACAAAGCCACAGAGGAATTTATAGACATTAATAGAGAAGTCTTTAAAATTATGAAGGAGTTTGATAGGGTAGATAACAATGTGACGAGTCCAAAGCTGATGGACTGAAATACAATTGATTACGAATAGAATCAAATTGTTAATTCAGGAGAAACTCTCATCTGTACGGTACATATAAGACTGTGAATTAGAAGGAGTAGGACACTTGGCCCCCCAAGCCTGTTCTTCCATTCAAAGTGATAGTTTTTCTGGTTGCTGTACATTCTGACTCATGCCTGATTTCCTTTTGCCCCCTTATCCAGAATCGATCTACCACTGCCTTAAATGGAGTACCTGGACAAAACCCACACAGACACGTGGAGAATGTGCAAACTCCACACAGACAGTCACCCAAGGGTGGAAGCAAACCTGGGTCCCTGGTGTTGTGAGGCAGCAGTGCTAACCACTGAGCCACTGTGCCACCGTGGTGAATGATTCAAAGGCTCTGCTTCCACAGCCTTCCAAAGGCACTCAAACCCTCTGAGAAACAAATTTCATTTTTTCTGTCTTAAATGAGTGACTCCTTATTTTGAAAGTGATTGCTGGCTCTAGATTCTCCCACAAGTATAAACATACTTTTCATAATTATCTTGTCCAGATTCCTCAGGGTCTGTATGTTTCAATAAAGTTTCAATCAAGGTGTTTAGTTGTTCTAAACACCAGCAGATACAAGCCTAGCCTGTTCAACCGTTCCACAAAAGAGAACCAACCCATTTCTGTTATTGGTGTGGTAAATCTACTTGGAACTGCCTCCAATGCATTTGCATCCCCCCTTAAATAAGATGACCTAAACCATGTACAGTACACTGGATGCAGTCTTACCAGTGGCACGTATAACTGAAGTACATCTTCTCTACTTTTGTTTTAATGCCACTTGTGATAAATCATAACATTCTACTAGCTTTCCTAATAACTTGCTGTACCTGTATACCAACCTTTTGTGATTAAAAATTGGAACACCCAAATCCCTCTATATCTCAGAGTTCTGCAATCACTCACCACAGCGGCACAGTGACTCAGTGGTTAGCACTGCTGTCTCACAACGCCAAGGACCCAGGTTTGCTCCCACCCTTGGGTGACTGTCTGTGTGGAGTTTGCACATTCTCCCTGTGTCTGCGTGGGTTTCCTCCAGGTACTCCAGTTTCCTCCCACAGTCCAAAGATGTGCAGGGTAGGTGGCTTGGCCATGCTAAATTGCCCATAGTAGCCAGGGATGTTTAGGTTAAGTGGGTTAGACATGGGAAATACACGGGTAGGGGAATGGGTCTGGGTGGGATGCTCTTCCGGGGGGCAGTGTGGACTTGTTGGGCCAAATGGCCTGTTTCCACACTGTAGGGACTCTATGACTTACATGATATGATTGTTTTATATTCTTCCTGTCAAAATGGAGGTAACAGTTTAAAAAATACCTTTTAGAGATCTCTAAATACTATACATAAATTTGTAATTTACCCACAACACATTTTACAGTTGCTATTACTGAGCGTTTGGAATGTGCAATTCAGCACAATTGAGTTTGTCTTTTGTAATAAAATACCTGTAGTTAAAGGGAAGCTTGGTAAGCAGACAGAAAGAAAAGGAACTGAGGATGTCCTGAGAAGGAGGGATAAAGTTGGACAGAAGCAGACTCGTATGAATTATGAAATCTGAAGAAGGGTCTAGGCCCGAAACGTCAGCTTTCCTGCTCCTCTGATGCTGCCGTGTTCATCCAGCTCGACACCTTGTTATCTGAAATATGAACAACATTGGGCCGAATGGTCTGTACTTAAACGTTATGTCACAGAGTTTTATCTTCATACTTCGATCTCCAGCATTCCCAGTATTCTACTCCATTTAAATTTCATAGTGGGTACCCATGTAATTGACAGTGACAGAACAGCTGGATAAATGAAACAGTACAACCAATTTTTCCACAAATTACAGCACACAGATTGCGGGGAGAGCCAAACCGATTTCAGTGATAAGAAACAAATATTTCTGCAGATTTCAGTTGATACAGTTAATGAGGTTCTTCAACCATAATTTATGAATTCTAAGGTGCAAAACGCTTCAGCCTTTGTTCGTTTTCCACAAAGATATTACTCACAGTTTTCCAGTTTGTTTTACCTCATGCAATCGGACAACACAACTTCGCGCCTGACTGTTAACCAACACGCATGCGCTGGACCCGAATCCCGGTGTACGCCGACGCATAGTTGTGGGCCAATCAGCGGGCGGTTTGAACTACTCGCAGCCAATCGGCGGGAGTGAGCCGGGTCGAGGCCAATTCGGACCAGAAAACGGAAAGAACTGAAGGAGAATTACCGGACCCAAAACATTGACTCTGATTTATCTCCACAGATGCTGTCAGACTCGCTGTGTTTTTGTTTCCAATTCGGGCTAGTCGCCGCCGAATGGACGGCGGTATTGTGGCCAATCAGGAACCGGTGAGCACAGAGCGTGAGGGAGGTAAGTCAATGGGAGAACCGGTTGCCCAACGACCAATGGGCGAGTCGATTCGGTGGCGGTAGTCCCTTACTGGCAGTTGCTATGTTACCCCGGCACGGCCCACAATCCCATATGGCGGTTAGTACGGTGTTGTCGGTGGGGTGGAGACAGTTACAGCAGAGGAGTTCAGTAGGAATTTGGATTTTTTTTAAAAAATAAAAAGCATATACAAAAAGCCAATTTATAAGGACTGTATGTCCCCAGCCTTCCTAGAACTCCAGTTCGAAAGCGTTAGGGAGTTAAAACGACGAATGGCGAGGCCCCAGAGTTGGGTGCGTTTCTCGGCGAGAAGGGTTACGTGAGCCCGGCCACTAAGTTAGTGCGAGGCCTAGTTCATCAGTTTTCACTTTGTTTTCAGTAAAAGGTAGGGTATTTGATTTCTGAAAAAGTACGTAAGTTATTCAAAATAAAGGTAATTTGTAAAAATTTTAATTGAGGCATGGAGAAATTAAGATTAAAGTCTCCATATGTTAAAATAGTTAAAAATATAGGATTCTAAAGTCAAATAATCTATGGAACGGGAATGTTGTTCGTTGCTGTCAATATTTTTAAGTCATTTTGTGGCATATCCTGATTAAGTAGAATAATAAATTATTAAATAACAAAGTTAAATTTCTTCGCTTAAAACTTGAGACAATTTGTGCTTTGTACCAATGCAAATATGCCGACAATATAGGAAGTCCTTTATGAAACACAGTTTCTTGTCAAGTTATCTGTAATTTTAGTTGTACTTGTTGGTTCTTGAGTTTGCTTCCACAATAACACCAAGATCAAGAATTTAGCACATCTGGGGAAACTGATTATTAAAAGAAACATTGCCATTAATTGAAACAAAACCAGAAATTGCTGGAGAAATTTGCCAGGTCTGGCAGCCTATGCAGAGAGAAAGCAAAGTTAACATTTTGAGTCCAGTGACTGTCCTTCGTAAGAGTTCTGTGGCAGTTTCTGTTTTTATTTCAGATCTTCAGCATCTGCAGTTTTTTTTTGTTTTATTGCCAGTAGATAATGTATGCCCAGTATTTGCATATTGTTTTTGAGTCAAACAGTGTGGAAACAGACCCTTCACTACAACTCCATGCTGACCAGATATCCTAAACTAATCTAGTCCCATTTTACAGCATTTGGCCCATATCCCTCCAAACTCTTGCAATTCATGCAGCCATCCAATGCCTTTTATTTATTGTAATAGTACCTCCCTCCACCAGTTCCTCTGACAGCTTGTTCCATACAAGCACCACCCTCTGTGTGGAAAAAGTTGCCCCTCAGGTCCCTTTTAAATCTTTGCCCTCTCAGCTTAAACGTATGCTCTCTAGTTTTGGACTCTCCTCCTTTGGGGGAAAAAGACCTTGGCTGTTCACTCTATTCATGCCCTTCATGATTTTATAAACCTCAGCTTCTGACGTTCCTGGGGAAAAAAATCCCCAGCCTATTAAGCCTCTCCCTAGAGCTCATACCCTCCAATCGCAGCAAAATCCTCAAATTTTTCCTGAATCCTTAACAACATCCTATAACAGGGAGCCCAGAATTGAACACAGTATCCTACAAGTGGCATAACCAATATCCTCTACAGTCGCAACATGACTTCCCAATTCCTATACTCAATGCACGGACCAATGAAGGCAAGCGTGCCAAGCCTCTTCTTCACTACTTATGACTCTTCTAAATTTTGCTTGATGCCAATGTTTCTGGTTTTGTTATTCCAACCTTTGAGTTTGATAATCTTTTATTGGAAACAAAGGATTATTTAGCGTTGGTGTTTAATTTAATGGGATGTAGGTATGTCTAACAAGTCCAGCATTTGAAGTCCATCTGTAATTGCCCTCGAATTGACTGCCTTATTGTACTATTTCAGAAGGCAGTCAGGTCACTCACTTTACCTGGGTCTTTCATCACATGTACACCAGACTAGGTAAGGATGGTGGATATCCTTCCCTAAAGAATGTTAGTGAATCAGATTTTTTACGATAATTGCCAATATTACTGATTCAAGACTTATTAATTGAATGTATGTTCTATCAGCTGCTACGGTGAGATTTGTTCTGTACCCAGAACATGAGCTTAGGCCTCTATTTCTAAACCAGTGACATTATTACTACTCCTTTGTCCACTTTGTCACCCCTGTTCAGAGGACATCTGATTTTTAATATTTAAAATTAAATTACTTGGTATAACAGATAAACATGTTCCTTTGATGAGTGAACACAAAGTAAGGGGAATGTAATCTTAAAATGGCACTAAAGACAAAATAAAGTTGCCATAGTCTTACTGGACCATAGGGTTGCTCTGTCATTAGAGAGAGATGATTGGTGGTAGTTTATCCTAGCAACCATCACACCTCAGGCAAGGGGAGACTTTGAGAAGGAGAGTTCTTTATAATAACCTCAGCCAGTGCAAGAATTGAAGCAATGCTGTTGGCATCACACTGCATCGTCCAGCTAATTGACCCTTCCCATAAATTCTTATTCCCTGATGAGGAATCGAACCCAGCCACAGGGGTGAAAACACCGAATTCTAACCACTAGACCAAAGAGGAGTTCAGGAGTGCACCTTTTCATGAGGAACTCTGGAAACATCTTATTCTATAAGCTATGGATGCTGGGAGTTAGTGCTTTCAAGCCCCGATCTAATGGAATAATGTTTTCTGAATATTTCTATTGTCAAACAAAATTGTGTAGACGTTGGCCAACAATACATTTTTGTCTGCTGCTTGGCATAGATTTTTTTAAAACGTTGTTGATTACTGGAAATGTGGGGGAGAACGTATGAGAAACAGCAAGAAAAACTATTTCATTATTTTAAACTCTTCAGGTTGTTAGAGAATAGAAAGTGCAATTTAAGTCTAGATTTCAACACTGGGACAGATTGCAAGAGTTATATGTATAACTAACATGCATTTACATACACCTATTTATTAACTTTAACTTTGCTTTCAACACTCTAATTCCAATCAAACTCATTTAGTGCCCTTGAGAAGATGATGGTGAGCGGCCTTCTACATGCTGTAATTTGATGTCTTTAGGGAGGAGATTCCAGGATTTTGACCCAGCAACAGTGAAGGAATAGCAATTATATTGCCATGTCAGAATGGTGAGCAGCTTGGAAGAGATCTTGCAGGTGGTGGTGTTCCCATGTATCTGCTGCCCTTGACCTTCTAGATAGAAGTACTCGTGGGTTTGGAAGGTGCTGTCTAAGGACCTCTGAATTTCTGCAGTGCACCTTGTAGGTAGTACATGCTACACTACTGAGCATTAGTGGTGGAGGGAGTGGTGTACAGTCTTGATGTACAATCAGCAGGAAACATTTCTGAATTTGGCAAGTCTTGGAATAGATTTTTAACACACTGTAAATAACTGCTTCCCTCTGCTATACTAAATTGAACGGTGTCTCAAATGTTTTCTGTTTAGGTGCCTTCGGCAAAGATGGCGGAGTTTGCGTGCCTGCAGTTTGTGAGTTCCTTTGCATTTGAAGCAATGCAGAAGGTCGATGTGGTAAAACTGGCAGCTTTGAGTGATCCAGAGTTGAGGCTACTCTTGCCGTGCCTGGTGAGAATGGCACTTTGTGCCCCTGCTGATCAAAGTGAGGCTTGGGCACAAGACAAAAAACTCATCCTGCGTCTTCTGTCTGGGGTTGAGGCTGTCAACTCTATTGTGGCTCTATTATCAGTTGATTTTCATGCTCTGGAACAGGATGCGACCAAAGAACAGCAGCTCAGGTATTTATTGTACTTCCCAAGTTAATGTAAACAACAAATAATTGTGAATTTCTGATGATCCATCAGTAACCTGAGTTAGCAAATCTACAATCCATAACTGACCTGAAACAAGAAATTAGGTTAATAATGTGGATGTAACCCTAAGTTGGTAGCACTTATTCTTCTGATTTAGAAGGTTATAGGTTATGGATTGCACTTCTCTAAAGATTTGATTTTATAATACTGCTGATGCACTTAGTGCAGTACTGAGGTGATGCACTGTCAGAAACCTGACTTTCACTTGAAGTTAAATGAAGGCCCGGTGGCCCTTCTGAGTTGGGTGCATCAGATCACATGACACTTTTCTGAATTTAAAAAAAACTGTTGCCCCGTGTCACACCCAATGTCTATCCCTCAACCAAGTGATGAGTCATGGATTTGGCATGATTAAAACTGATTATTTGACCGTTATCCTATTGCTGTTTGTAGAATCTTGATGTGTACAATTTGTCATTTTTTCTACTTTATAATGTTGACTACGTTCCAGAAACATGTATTTTGTGACGTTTTGAAGTGTTGCAAGATGCAGAATAATTGCAATGTTTTTCTTTCTCGCTTTAATTATTTCAACACTTTTTTCAAGAATATTCCTCAAACTTATTAACTTTTTTTAAACAGGCACAAGTTAGGTGGAGCAAATGGAGAGAGCATCCTAGTATCACAGCTACAGCATGGCTTAGCTTTGGAGTTTGAACATAGTGATTCCCCTCGTCGTCTCCGACTAGCACTTAGTGAACTGTTAGTGATCATGAACAAGGTAATAAACAATGAATCTAAGATAGAAGCTTGTGTTCCATCTATGCATGCCACTATCTGAGCACTGATGAGCTCATACTTTACTTTTGAGGAGCTTGAGTTTGCCTCCCCCACTCTGTGTGTACTTAAGAGTGGAGGCAGGGGTCCTAAAGTCTTATAAATGCAAAAAAATCAAAGGTAAGG